AAAAAAAAAAAAAAAAATCGAAAAAAAAAAAAAAAGTTATGTAGAAAAACAAACTCAACAATTTTGCGCCAGGGTCTCATCGAAATTATTTACCAAATTTAAAACAAAATTTTAAAATTAAAAAATAATAAAAAATAGTTTGTTTGTTTGTTTTTTCCAGGCCCGGCCGGGCAAGTGGTCCCGGGCCACTCTGGTAGCCTAGGCACGTAGCATTTTTCCTCTAGATCACTGTATGCCGTTGTAGTCTTTTTTTTTTTTTTTTTTTTTTTTAAGAAATAAAAGAGGGAGCTAGGAATCCTAGGATCCCAACCATTGCAGAGAGAATACAGGTGTACCCAAAGATAAGGTTGAGTGGGATACCAACCGGTCTAGCTCAGTTGGTACACCCCCCCTGGACTGAACTGTTGAAATACAGACCAGGTGCTGAGTTCGAACTCCCCTGGAAGCAGATGAGTAAAATACCGCGAGTTTGAATTACCTATAGGATCAGTCAGTTCACATGATGATGATATCTCAAGGCCGTAGCCCTTTGAAAAAGGGGAAGAACAAAAAAGGATAGGTTGAGTGGGGGGATAGCTGGGGCCACAAACACTCACCTGTGCAAATACTGTTCCTTCCTTATACGCATGCGGATTGATTGCTCGTGTCGTTCTCTCGCCGCAGAGGTTGCAGGTGAACTTCACCCTCATTCGTCTTCTTGGCGATGTACTTAAGCCAACCCAAGGAGTCCAATTGTCTGAGTCTCCGCCTAGCGACGAACCCTCCCCATCTTGCGTCGAAGTGTGGGGACCAGTCATGCCTGACCCTGTTGTCCATCCTGTACCTAATGCAGCTTGCATCACGAGACCTACGGCATCGTCCTGCAAGCACACACATCGCACCGACACGACGGAACCTTCGTTGAGAATTCAATCGGCACAATGTCAAAACTGACTTTGACCAGCATCAGAAAGATCACTCTGGAGTATGGACGCATAGGCCCAACAAGGCGGCCCAAGTGTTATAGGCAGGGGGAGTAAAGCCTCTTTTTTTTTCCAAAGTTCTTGCTGTTTATTGTCTGTTACATGGCAGGTTCATGGACAACGAGACTGAGCGGAAGTCAACAAGGAAAACGCTGTCAATCCTTGGGAACGGAGCAATCAATGTTATGCAAGGGGGGTGCGATACGAACCAAACGATGCATTTGCAGGTACCTACCAATCGTATTATGTCAATTTATATATCTTTACTCGCTGCATTCCCGCTTCCCTAAATGGACAAGGTGTCAGGCCATAAGGTCCTATTTTCTCAGAAAAGGAAAAAAAAGAAACATCAGGCCTGACCTCTCTTTCCCTCCACCCATCGGTTCCCCGACTGTCTTGCCCTCTTCACCTCCTCAGTTTGTCTGAACCAAATGTATCGCAGGCTAAGGGTCTCTCCAGCCACTGATCTAGAAGCAATTTATCAGACACCATGCCGCCAATACTTCAGAACTACACCGGGACGGTTAGAGACATTAAGGAATCCCATCAACACCAGGTTGCACATGGCATATTATTGTATCATATAGGCCCGTCCCGTTCATTCCGGTTTCACCTGTGACCAACAGAAGCTGAGCGCTGTAACATGTGTTATCAGGAGTACATCCGCTGCACACATGCGCGCGCGCGCACACACACACACACACACACACACACACACACACACACACACACACACACACACACACACACACACACACACACACAC